CCCCAGCGTGAGAAAGGTGGAACTGTCGACTTCTCTGGCGAACCGCGCCAGACCGTTGGGGCTGATCCTCCGGCGACGGGGGCGGCGGCGGCGGTCTGGGGGCGTGTTGGAGAGGCGGAGCGTGGTGTCTACGTCCATGTGATCCATCGCTGTTTTCTTGATAAACCGAAAAGAGGAAATTGTTTCTTGAATTAGTATCAAAGTCGAATATATGGTAATGATTAATGGGTTTGGAATTGTAAAGTAGGGCTTATATATATAGAAATTATGTGTATGTGGCCTTTTCCTTGTATTATTTGGAGTAATTATTTTATTTCCTAATATAATACAAAGTGAAGTATTTTTCCTGATAAATATAGAATTAGGTAAATTTGGGAAAAATTCAAAATTAGTCCCACAGGTATAGGGGGATGACATTTTTGGTCCCAACGGAATCCAGAAAATATTAATAGTCCCGCAGCTTTTAAAAAATGATCAAAAGTAGGACTTTTTTCAATTTTCCGACCCGAAATGCCACGTGGCCACATTCATCTGACGTGGCGAGTACAATGGCAAGAAAAAAAATCAAAACTAGTCCCACAGGTTTTGGGAGGTGACATTTTTGGTCCCAAAAAAATCCATAAAATCTTAAATAGTCCCGCCACGTGTGTGCCACGTGGCATACCGGGCCGGAAAATTGAAAAAAGTCCTACTTTCGATTATTTTTTAAAAGCTGCGGGACTATTAATATTTTTTGAATTCCGTTGGGACCAAAAATGTCACCCCCCTATACCTGTGGGACTAGTTTTGAAATTTTCCCGGTAAATTTTATTTGAGGAGCACGTGTTTTCCTAATATACAATCACAATTAATTTAATTTAACAAATTTCTGTTTATTATTAAATTAAATAATAGCTGTACTCGATTATTATGGCGAACTGTAAATGTTGAATTTGAACCGAAGCAGTGGAGCTGTGGAGGTGGTGACGAGCTTATGCGGGCTCATGCATGCAGTGGGCTCAATTGTATTAGTTGGCCCGATATAATCAACATCGACTGTGGGCCGTTTAATTAAAAGAGACAATCAGGCCCGATTTAATCAACATAAAAAATATAGGGAAAATTACATACATAACACACTGTGTATGAATATTTACATATATACAATCCTGCAAATTATTAATCAGAAGAAGATAAAAAGGTGATTTTAATTTCATATGTACGAGAACCTAATTTCTCTCACCATCTTCTCTCTCTCTCCATTTATTAATCATGACCGAAATTCACGGTTGATTCTCTCTCCAAATATGTTTCTCTCTCCAAATGCTTCTCTTTCCAATAAGTCTATTTCTCTCACCAAA